GCCCTCCGCCCGAATTTGGTCGCAACCCGAGGCAATTCCCATAAGGTTCAATGTAATTACCATTAATCCGTTCTGGCGTCCATGGACCACATGGAAAGCGGCGTGGTGCGGCGCGAAAATGGCCGAATAGGTAGGGTTGAGTAAGAGTCTCGGTCTGAAAACCCAAAGTGTTGTTGTTTATTAGCAGGTCCTGCTCTGCTATTAGGCACAGTGAAGCAGCTGCTTTAGGCAATAGGTTTTAGGTGTCATGAAAGGGCAACTGTTTGTGAAGTCATTTACTGTTATTTTATTTTTACTTCTATTCTAGAAGGTCTAGGGACTGGGTTAGATTCTTAGAGAATCTTCACACTCATCCTAAAATAAAGTAGTATGTTCTGCCTTCTGTACTGAAGTAAGCCGACTGACTTTTAGATATGATGGGATTACTCTGGATGGAGCCTCATTTGTTGTTTTACTTTAAGCAACAAAATACCTCATTCCAGTCCAGTGCATTAGTGTTTAAATTTAAATAATAATGAAATAGATTAACTGATGGCCTGAGTTGGTATAGATCTTCCCAGGCTCCCAGTATCTCTATGAATCCTGTATTTTATCAATGTAACATTTTATTAATGCTTTTCTTTCAAAAATCCTTTCTTCTTGTAAGCTTCTGCCTCCAAATAGACAGATTTGCCTCATTGTTAATGAAGAAGTTTCCACATACCCAAAAAGGCCAGGATTTGGTTCTACATCAGCATTTCTCTCATAGTTTACATACAGCTTCAGAAAATACACAAGATAATTGCTGTGTGTATATGTATGTGTGCCTTTTTAATGCCAAACTTCTATTGGTCTACAACCCACAATAAATCTCACTATTCCATTGTGAGAGTCTTCAGGACAGCAAAATAAATGGCTAAATGATTTTGCCTGGAAATCCAAACTCTGGAACTAAACGGAGAAAACCAGAATATTCTCTGTGAACAATATTAGCCATTTATACCTTCACATCCATATATATGCTTATACCATTCCCCTAACTGGAGTAGCTTGGTTCCTGAAAGGGCCATGGGATATTTGTGAAAGAAATAGGCCTTTCCAGGCCCTCCTAGAATTTGGTCCCCCTAAAATTTGGTCAGAAAAGCCAGCATCATATACTGTAGACTCAACCAGGCTACGCTATCCAAGAGCAGTTTTGGTCCTAGATGTTTTATTGTCTGATGTAGAATCAGCCATGATTCACTCTCCTACTGTTCAGCTACCTGGGAATGTGAGGCGTGAAAACCCTCAGGTTCCTCAGTGTCCAACAGTATAAATATAATAATAATAAATTAGGGTACTAAAAATTAGCTGTTCTTTGTAGGTACCCAAAATCAGCCAAACGAGTTGGTCACCTCATTATACCTAACGATAGGAGACTGGCCTCTTTGAACCTATCAGATGGTGCTCCTGGACTACCCATTTCTGTCTTGGCAATCAGTTTCCACTTCCGCTCTAATTATCCTTACTTTGCCTCATGGCTTCCTTTATGGGATAATAAGGGTATTTTTCAAATTCAAGAACTGTCAGGCAACCCCTTTGATGCACTGTATCTGGGGACCTACTTTGGTTTGTTTCTTTCTCTAGCTTTCTTTTATACTTCTTTGCGTTGATCACCTTCTTTCAGGGCCATTTTCATCAAAGGAAAAGCATAGAATAAGTGAAACAAAAGAATAAAGAAGATGACATGTGATTCTCTGGGCTTGTGGGGATTGCTTGCTTGTTTGCTGTTTCAGATATGTCGAGCAATAAAGCAGATTTCTTGTGAGTGTAGGTGGTCTTAATGTTGCTTTTTAAGAAATAGTGCCAGAGAGGCTATTTTTAACTGAAGGTAACCAAGCAGTTCAAGAAATTTTAGGCAAGTAATATTCTTAAATGAGAAGGAAGAAACCTCATCCCCAAAGTGGGAAAATAAACAGGAGACAGAAGTGAAAAGTATTGCACATCTGTAAATATATAAATAAATGTAAAATGCTTAAAAGTAAAATTGCAAAACTACTCTCCTGTATGGGCATGAATATTCTGAAGGAATGCCTTACGTAGAGGTGTGTATATGTATAGAAGCAGTACCTACTCCCACAAGCTCTGATATGCAACATATTCATTCGAAATCATTATCTGGCAATATGTGACAAAGCTTTAGGACCACAAGCCTCAGGGGCAGTTGCTGCTTTTGTATTTTTGCCAATAAAAACAGAGATTGGGTTCAGTTACATCTCTATCTATTTGCATGCCTACTTAACTGTTTCTAATTCAAATGGTGCTTTTCCTCTTATAATTGCAATCATATGGCTGGTGGTGTTTAACACCGTAATCCCCTGTGCTGTCTTCTTTCAAGTTCTGTTGCATGAAAATGGCTGAGATGAACCAAGAATTCTGTTTTTCTCATTTCAGAAATAATTCAAGATGAGGGTTTAAATATAATTTAATGAAAAATAGGAAAGAGATACTGTTGTTAACTATTGATCATTAAATGGGCTACGATGATATTACTCAGAAATATGCAGTGAGATGCAAGTGGAGAGCTGCATACATATTACTCTGTCAATGCAGAGATTATGTCCTACATGTAGGAATAGCTTTATGCAGCAGAATATGCATGCAGAGAAAAACAAAAATAATAGAGAATTCACAAACAGATTTCTGGAAATTTATCTTTCAGAAAAGAAGAAAATATTATCAGCTTACATTTCCTAAATATCTGAACTAGCTGTCTTTTAAGTAAAAGAATGATAGGCCACGTAGCCTGCTAGACCACCTCAGCTTCTAGTTTAGTTTAGTTTAGTTTAGTTTAGTTTAGTTTAGTTTAGTTTAGTTTAGTTTAGTTTTCCCCCTTGG